TTTGTGCCAAACTGAGTGTCAAATAACTTGGTAAACAATATTTTTCTAAATCTATACTGCGCTATTACAAGGTTATGTCAGTGCTTTATATTTGTAGTGCTAACAATAACAGGCAATAACAGTATCGTAATCTGTTTTTATACGGTTATACTTTATAAAATAATACGTTTTGTTTTTCTTTTTAAGAATTTGAAAATAAAGGACTATAAGATCATCATTACAGCCCTTCACAAGTCCACTGCTGAACATAGGCCTCCCCCAAGTAATGCCACAAAGCACGGTCCTGAGCCACCCGCATCCATCGACTTCCTGCATATCTTATCAGGTCGTCACTCCATCTAGTGGAGGGTCGCCCTACACTACGCCTACCGGTACGAGGCTGCCACTCGAGAACCTTTTTTCCCCATCGGTTATCGGTTCTTCGAGCTATATGGCTGGCCTATAGCCACTTCAGCTTACTAATCCGTTGGGCTATGTCGGTTACTCTGGTTTTACTACGGATATCCTCATTTCTGAGTCTATCACGCGGAGAAACTCCGAGCATAGCTCTCTCCATAGCTCGCTGAGCGACCTTGAGCGTCCTCATACGGCCAGCAGTGAAGGACCACGTCTCAGATCCGTAAGTCATCACTGGTAACACGCACTGGTTATACACTTTAGCTTTCAGAGATTGAGGTATACCTGACGAGAAGATGTGTCGTAATTTCCCGAACGCTGCCCAGCCGAGTTGAATCCGTCGATTGACCTCTCGTTCGAAGTTGGACTTACCTAGTCGGACTATTTGTCCCAGGTAAACGTACTCGTCAACAACTTCGAGCATAGTGCTCCCAACAACTACCGGCATAGGTGTGACATGGACATTAAACATAATCTTTGTTTTGTCCATATTCATCTTAAGACCTATCCGTTGGGAGACACCAATGAGGTCATTGAGCATAGTGCTAAGGTCCTCCAGCGATTCTGCCATAAGGACAATATCGTCGGCAAATTGAAGGTGAGTGATGTACTCGCCATTTATGTTAATACCGTATCCTTTCCAGTCCAGTAGCTTGAAAACGTCTTCCAATGCAGCGGTGAAGAGTTTCGGGGATATAACATCACCCTGTCTTACACTTCTCTGCAGTTGGATAGGTTTCGAGCTCTGGTTTTGTACTCGGATAGCCATCGTAGCCCTACTGTACAAACACTTCAGCACTTCGATATATCGACAGTCAAATTGGCACCGCTGAAGGGACTGTAGCACCGCCCAAATTTCGACGGAATCAAAGGCTTTCTCATAGTCCACATACGCCAGGCAAAGTGGCAGATTGTACTCTTCAGTCTTCTGTACAATCTGCCGCAAGGTATGTATGTGGTCTATGGTACTAAAGCCTTTTCGGAAACCGGCTTGTTCGGGAGGCTGGAAGTCGTCGAGTCTGCGTGCGAGACGATTCGCAATGACTCTCGAAAACAGCACGTAGACGCGGCTCAGAAGGGAAATCGGTCTGTAGTTCTTCAAGAGAGCGTTGTCGCCTTTCTTAAAGAACAAGACCACCGCACCTCTGCTCCACGCTTTTGGAGTAGTGCCACCATGGAGGACGGAATTGAAGAGCTTCTGAAGGACTTCAAGTACCGGTGTTCAACCCGCTTTCAGAAGCTCCGCTGTAATTCCATCCTCGCTTGGGGCCCTGCCGTTTTTAAGGTGCTGGAGGGCCATTCTAATCTCGTTTAGACTGACGTCCGGTATATCATCGGAATAGTGTCGCATAAGACTTGCGCTTGGATCGTTACTCACACTTGCGTGTGGCTTCAACGATGATGTGTACAGCTGCCCATAGTACCTCTCAATCTCACTCAAAATCTCAGGTGTCCCGGAAACGATGCTGCCACACTCAATCTTCAGCTTTGACAGTTGGCTCTTACTGGCAGACAGATCTCTGGCAAAGACTTTGGAGCCCCGGTTCCGCTCGATCGCTTCTTTAATACGAGCAGTATTAAAGTTGCGTAAGTCTCGCCGCATGCATTTGGAGATCTGTCTGTTCAGTTGCCTGTATGCTATCAAATCTGTTAACGATTGCAGCCTTATCTCCCGTGTAACAGCCATGAGATTAAGAGTGTGATCGGAGAGTTTTTGTGTTCTTCTGCGGCGGGTCTTGCAGAACTTAGCTCCGACCGCATGGACAGTTTCCACGAGCTTGTCATTCATATCGTCCACTACATTGCAATCTTCTAGGCACTGAAAGCGGTTACGTAACTCGAGCTGAAAGTTTTCGGGATTCTGGATTAGAGCACGAGGGGGACGGAGCGTTGACTTCATTAGACTAGACCTCTCCAACTTAACGTTTAGGTTCAGTGTGCCTCTAACCATTCGGTGATCGCTGCCAGTTTTCACCCTTACGATCACTGAGACATAACTGAACAGTTGGCGTCTGGTCGTCATAAGGAAGTCAATCTCATTTTTTGTCGAACCGTCGGGGCTCGACCGTGTCCACTTCCTGTGGGGCCGCTTCTGGAAGAAAGAGTTCATCATAAAGAGTCCCTCTTTCTCCATAAAGTCGGCCAGCTGCTGGCCCCTTCGGTTCCGTTGCCCTACTCCAAATTTCCCTATTTTCAGCTTACCTTTTTCTCTTGTACCTAGTTTTGCGTTGAAGTCTCCCATCAACACCGTGTAGTGGGTTTTGGAGGAATGCATGGCTTTGGAAATATCCTCATACATTTCCTCCACCTCCTCATCGGGATGTGCCGAGGTTGGTGCGTAAACCTGTATGACCTTAAGCGAATACCGTTTGGTGATTCTGAGTATCGGGTACGCGACCCTCGTCGACACACTCCCAATCTTTACAACGTTGTTGACGAGAGACTTGTGGACGATAAATCTGACACCTCCTTGGGACATATGGTCGCCCTCCCGGTGACAGAACAAGTTGCCGGATTTGAGAATCACCGTGTCCTCGCCCTCTCTTCGGACCTCGGATAATCCTATAATATTCCAGCGCAACTTGTCTATCTCTTCTTCCAGCTCCACGATCTTCTCGTCAGTCCTCAGGGTGCGTGCGTTAAATGTTTCCAGGTCGAGTCGTCGTAGGTGGCAACCGAACCTCCACCGGAGATCCTTAGCACCCTCTGCCCCGCCGTTACCATGGTCGCCACCGTAGCCAGGAATAGCGGGGCCGCCGGGGACTGGGGGCCGTCTATTTGTGTTATAGTTCATGGGGGATATATTTCCATAGTTGCCACGCTTGGCGAGCGGGTTGGCAACCGCAGTTTTTTTTTTGTTGTACAGTGGCTGTTATCAGGAAGATGATGCTGCCCATCTCCTGCTTGTTGTGCTGGAATATAAGATAACTTTTATTAAATATAAAAATAAAACTATGACCAAACCGAACGCGCGAAAGAAAGTAGCATTTTTATATTTAGGTTGAAAATGGTAACCCCAAATGGCGTTATGTGCCGCCATTTTGTGACGCTAAAACATTCGTCTGTTGTCGTTTCGTGCGCATAGACCACGTTCTTCAAGTGTTTTCGATCTGTTTTTATTTGATTACCCGGCTTTCGTTTAATGGACTGTTTCTGCTTTTCAAACTGACATCGGCGCTAAATCGGACTTCGATTGTGTTTTGTATTGCGTTCTTTTTACTTTTGGTGCATAATAATGCCTAAACGTGGACAAACATTGAAAAGTGGAGCCCGTGAGTTAATCATCAAGCTGCAAGATTACTTTGAGCGGGAGCGGCAAAATGGCGGACCCCTGTTACCTGTCGAACAAGTACAAGAACGCGTCTCTCAGGCGCTTGGAGTTAGCAAACCAACGATAACAAATATTAATAAAGAAAAGTTCGGCTCTACTGGCACGCAAGATTGTATTAATCTAATATATAATCTTTAATAAATAATATTTTACGTACTCCGAAGAAGAAACGTAGAACTAAACCCGTGACAGATATTGACACCTTTGACGCCGATGCAATCAGAAATCATATATATGGTTACTATTCCAGAAATGAATATCTCAACAGGAAGAAGCTTTTGGCATCGTTAAGAGAAGCTGGACTGTTTAGCGGGGGTAAAACTGCTTTAACCAAAATCTTAAAAGATATTGGTTTTTCGTATAAAAAAAAACAGACAAAAGAAAAATTTTATTAGAACGATACGACATAATTTTAAAACGGATAAGTTTTTTGAGAGAAGCAAAAAATATTGATAACTGGGATAATGTCGTGTTCATTGACGAGACATGGCTAAACGCCAATCACACGCTTTCCCGTTCTTGGACGGATGATACACAAGCGTCGACGTCGAAAGTACCAATGGGTAAGGGGGGCCCGTCTGATAATATGCCACGCAGGTTCTGCAAAATACGGCTTTGTGGAGAACGCGTTACTGCCATTTCAATCAAAAAAAAAACACAAATGACTACCACGAGGAAATAAATGCCACTACATTTAAAGAGTGGTTCCAGAACGTGCTTTTGCCCAGCCTACCAGAGCCTTCTGTAATATTTTTTTTTATAGGATAGGGTGACAAACGAGCACACAGTCCACCTGATGGTAAGTGGTTGCTGTGGTGTGTGCGCGTGATCGGGGATGCGCGGGACCTGGAGCCGTATTTTTGAGTTTTGCTCGTGCTTTCCGCCCGCAGTGTCGCTGCGGAATTAATGGAGTGAGGTCACGTCCGAATACGCCATGGATCGACGCGTAAGTTGATAGACGTATCATTTTACACGAATTTCCATAATATTGGATTTTTTGTTTTGGTATTGAATTAAATCACCTGACACAAAATAACGTAATGTTTTCGTATAGTCATAGTTAAGTTGCTTGATCTTTTCTTTTGCAATTTTGTCCCTATTATTTTGTTATAACTAGGTATTCAAAGTCGTTTTCTGTCTTTTTAATTAACCTTTGATTTATTATTTAAAGTCTTTTTACAGACAAGTGTTATTTTCGTGCTGTGGTTTTCAAAACTTTAATGTATATAATGCTAAATAGAATAATGTTTGTTTCAGTTATATTGATAAAATAATGGAATTGGCCTCTGAAGCCGAAATTGAAGAAAAATATTGTAATACTCAGGAATATGGCTACGAATCAAGCGAGGAGCAAGAAACAAGAAAAGCAGTTGAAGGTCGTGTCATCAGGATCCAATAGTTGCAGAAACGGTTATTGACAAAGAAAAAACTAGTGATATCCAGGAAGAAGGCAACATATCAATAGGGACGCAAGAAGTAAGAAAACCAGTTGAAGAGTCGCAGGACCTTCCAATTGCTGCGGAAACGGTTTGTGACAATAATAAGAGGAACAAGACACAAGAGAATTTTTCAAAATACCTACTAGATGACTTGAGAATTTCAGATTCATCAGACGATGGTGATTTTGGATCATCTAGCAGTGATGATTATATTTGCGTTACTGATGAATCTTCGTCATCCAGTGATAATGAAAGAACTTCAGCTAAAAAGAAAAGAACGGCTACGTCGTCGGTGAGATATACCTCCAATATTACAGTTCCAGAAACACCCCCGTCGCCCATGAGCACATCAGAGAATCCTGTTCCTGGTTGCTTTTTCTGGGAACGCAACGGTATGAATAGTGCCCGGAAAAAGAAAAAAACAAGAAAAAGTGACAAAGAGAGAAGACAGCACAGAGCAAGGAGAAAATAGTTTCGTAATACTGGCTTAGAATATATAACGACATCAGGGAAAACAAAGAAACGTCGGCAACTTCATAAACTTGAAAACTGCCGTCAAAAATGCAAGCAGAGACTACCATAGGACTTGAGGGAGAAACTTTTTGAATAGTACTGGAGTTTAGGTAGTTACGAAAATAGAACTAAATACATTGCGAAATGTATTGAAGTCTGCCGAAAAAAGTTTTCTCCAAAGAAAAAACGCAACGTCAGCTTTCGTTACTTTGTTGTTTGTACAAACGTTGATCACACAAAACATCCAATTTGCAAAGGATGTTTTTTGAAGACTTTTGATGAAAGTCACAAATATCTACAAACGGTATGCGAGAAACTACGAGACAATGGCGGTCATCTTCCTCAGCGTAAACGTCGAGTTGGTAAGTCAATTCCTGATTTCAAACTAGAGGAAATAAAAGAACATATTGCTTATTTTCCTTGCACAGAAAGCCACTACGGCCGCAACAAAACCACTAAAAAGTTTTTGAATTCCGAGCTCAACCTTCAAGTTCTTTATAACTTATAGAAACTGAAGACTGATGCTCCAGTAAGCAAAACCATCTTTAAAAAGGTCTTTTAAACCATCAATTTGTCCTTCAAAAAGCCATCTGTAGACACTTGTTCAAAATGTGACCGCATCAATATGAAACTCAAGTATGCATCTGTGGATCAGGCTGCAAATCTCAAGACGCTCAAGGAGCATCAAGAGGCGTTTAAGGCTGCTTACGGAGAGAAAAAGGCAGATAAACAACTGGCTCAATCGAGCGAAGTTGTAGCTGTCATAACATTTGATTTGCAACAATGTTTACCCACCCCGTATTTGCAAACGAATGTTGTATTTTATAAGCGACAATTGTGGACATTTAATTTAACCATACACGATTTGAAAACAAACAAGGCTTTCTGTTACATGTGGCCGGAGTGTGAAGGTAATAGAGGGGCTTATGACATTGCTTCGTGTTTATACGATTTTTATCATAAATCAACTACCAAACTTACATCCAAACGCTAAGAAGCTGATCATGTTCTCGGACTCTTGTTCTGGCCAAAACAAGAATTCGATTGTAACAACAATGTTAATGATAGTTACTAGACTATCCCCACAATTGCAATTTATTGAACATAAATTTCTCGTACCCGGCCATACACACATGGAGGCTGACACCGACCATGCATTGATTGAGCGTAAAAAGAAGCACACGAATATGGATATACACTTGCCAGGAGATTGGTACTAACTAGTGCGTACAACTTCAAACAATACAGCCAAGTTTACTGTCATCGAAATCACTCATGAAATGTTTTATGATATTAACATTTTCGTAAAGCAATCTTTTACTTTTAGGAAAACGAATACAGCCAATGAAAAGTTTTTGTGGTTGAACGTTAGATCTGTTCTTTATAACGAAGAAAGCATATCCTGTTTTTCTTACAAAAAAGAGTTCAAAGATGTTGAGTACATGACCATGGACTGTTCGAAACGGGGTAAAACTTATGATAATATATTTACGATTATTATGGTACCGAAAGCTTACCACTCTAAACTTCCTATTTCAACTGATAAGAAGAAAGATGTATTAAATTTGTTATGTTTTATTCATGAGAGCGCTCATGAGTTTTACAGAAGTCTGAGCTTCAAAAATGATGTCAAAGACAGTCCAGCGCATAATGACAATGATTCCGATGGTGAATAGGTTCTGGTTCATATAACTTATAGATCGAAAGACTTTGTTATTTTTTTATTGCTTTGTTAACGTTAGTCTACATACAGGTGGGCATATTATAGTAATTTAAAGAGGTTCAATTCTGATTTGAATATAAGTATTTTTTTAGTTAACATTATAATCATTTAAGACGAGTTATCCATCTCATAGAGTGGAATTTATTATCTACCTCTATGGAACACCTGTTAAAGTTTGAAGTGTTAGAATTTTGTTTGATTGTTATTTTCCTAGATTTTTAGATTAAGACATGATTGTGATACTTTTTATTGTACTTAGTAGGTAAATATTGCTTATCGTGATATCTAAAGATAGATCTGTGTCATTTCTTAGATTTTAAGTTTAAAATTACTTGCTAACTTTTGTACAAATGATAAGTTCCTATTGAGAATAGTTAAGCTACATTCATATTGTTAAATCGTGATTATTTGATCTCAATTTACTTTTTTTTAAGAATTTTGATAAATATGTGCCTTGAATTTGAGTGAATTATTCATTTTGAAAAAGTTTAATAAACGTTGATTATTTTTCTAAAACTTGTATTTATTTACACTATCCATATCTCTTTTGCTGATGGGTATAGTTGCCGACACAAGTCGTGAGCACAGATAAACTGTGGTGGGAGGTAGGTACACTGTCGGGCAAAATTATTGGGTACCTTTATTATTTCAATTCGTAATTGAATATTTTCGCCGACTTTTATGAAAATGTTTACTCGAACACATCAACTTTTACTTTGATACAGTAATGTTGCAGACATTTGTGTCCGTTATTTTATTATCTACTATAAAGTATTTAATGTATACCTGTTGGTTAGATTGATGATTTTATTAAAAAGAAGGAAGAGGTGATATGCCTTCCATAAAATCAGTCAGTCAGACATTAGTCGCCTTAGCAGTATGTTTAAATACGTCTATGATGTTTTTCGCAGTACCTAATTTTTTCATGTAACTTCGGAACTATAACTATTTAACACCGAATTCTTCCTTCTCTGCATATTTAGACCAAAATCTGAACACTCAAATTATAAGAACAAATATAATAGAATATAATAGATATAAAACAAGAAATAACAAAAACAATTAATAACAAGGAATAACAACAAACAACAATTAACAACGAGGTAACAAAAAAAAATTAACGAAAATAAACTAATTAAAAAAGTTATCACTAAAATTATTGCTCTGAAGTGTACGGAAGCCGAATGATACGTTCGAAACCAATAGACGACGAGAATCGACTGATGAACCAATCACGTTGAACGTCAGCGTGGCCAACGTCGTATCGACTAATAAAAAGTGAGCTGACGACTTATGTCGGCAGTTATATATCTCGACTTTTATCATTTAACACATCTTCTAAAATACTAGGATTTTAGTATTCTGATACAATTCAGGTAAATATTGTAAATAGACGACTGATAAGTAAAAAAATGAAATCTAAACGGTTATATCTTTATCTTTTGTTTGAAGAACATTGTGCTAGGATCATTATTCTGATTAGTTATTATATGTTTTAACTTCGTGTATATCAGTTTACACAACAATAACTTACAGGTTCAACGTAATATAAGTGTACAAGTATCATTTATCATATAATTTTAGCACATAATAAACATAATAAAAGGTCAACTCACAGGTTTTCATGATTTACTTTAAAAATTAAATATATTTACTAAAAATCTAAAATATATAGCGAAAGAGAATATTTTACTCTACCTAAGCCTAAGCCTAAGCCCACTTAGTTCACGAACAAGAATTTTTTAAATCTTGTTTTTGCGCTCTTGTAAAATGATGATTTTTCACTTGTATCACCTATCACAGGAGGCGGCACAACATTGACATCGATGTTTCGATGTTTGATATGTGGTGACAGCGATGTTAAAACATCGATGTTTTAATTTTTAACATCGGTGATCATCGAAGGAACAACTTATCCATAGACTACTACTGCATTTTCGAGTATATATCAGTAATCTATGACTGCATTTTTAAATTTCTTTAGTTCTTTAGTAGTATATAGTCAGTAATAACAAGACCTCCTATGACTGCATTTTTAAATTTCTTTAGTTCTTTAATTCTTATCTATTGTTAGTTTTTACCTATTTCTGTATATATTACTCTACTCTGTTACCAAAACTATTTTCTATTTACCGGTCTAGGTATATGAATTAATTTTGATAAATTACAAAAATGGAAACAAGACTGCATGAATTATCTCAAATACATCGCTACATCGAAGGACTAGATAAAGAAGTGACAATGGTATTACAAAACTTGCAGTGGGATAGAAAGCGTTTATTAGAGGTTACATTGTTATTTACTTTACTAGAATTTTTAATATAATATTTTTATTTAGATATAGGTACAATAATAGATAATTTGGGTCGGCTTTAGTAATCTGCTGCACGATTTAAGTGATTATTTTAGCTTTAGTTGACAGGCAATGATGCTATTGATTACCATTTAGCTGCTTTTTATGCCGGAAATCTTTATTTTTCGAGATATCGATAGTTAAAGTTTTGAGGTTATATTGAGTTGGCTAGACATCCGGTACTTGATTTTGATAATGTTTTTAGTCTAGGAGGCTTGTAAGGGTTAATCTTAAACCTACTACACTGTTTTTAGATGTCGGAAATGCATTTTGAATTAATTACGATAAAAACAAATTTCACCAAAAATAGTGTAAAAAACAATTTGTTCTCGTATTATGAAGTAGATTTCCGATACTTGATTTTTTAATTATGTTTTCAATTTAGGAGGATTGTCAGGGTTAAGCTCGAACCATTTACACTGTTTTTGGATTTCGGAAATGCTTTTTGAATTAATTACTTACGTTTTAACACAGATACACTCATAAAAAAGTTAATCACTCGGACCCAGACAATCCATTTGGGCTAAGCTTTCCATTGACGTCCGTCGAGTTGGGGGTTGATATTTTTTTTACAGAAAGGTTACATTAATATAAGCACACACGTAAAGTTTCAACATGCGGAAAAGCGTACTTTTTTGAGAAAAAAATTATTGAAAATCAATAATTTTTGCAATATTTATGTCAATCCCTATCTCAGATTATATGATATTTTTTTTACAGAAAGGTTACACTATTGTAAACACACACGCAAAATTTCAACATGCGGAAACGCGTACTTTTTGAGAAAAAAATTATTGAAAATCAATTATTTTTATAATATTTACGTCAATCCTTACCACAGATTATATCGAATTCTCGCCATTGAATGTTCGTTTTCCGTACAGTTAAGTTGTCATACGTTCGGTATCATTTTATTGTATTTTTTTACGTAAATAATTATATTTTGTCTTCATTTAAATAGTTTTCATGCATACACATATATTTAACAGCTTATATTTAAATTACAAAATTATTATCATTATGAGCTATTAAAATTAAAATGTGTAGTGTTTACCGTTTTTTGCTGGCTTGTGGGACGTAACATAAAACTGATGATTTCTAAGAATTAATTAAAGCAATATGTGTATAAAATTGTATAAAACATGTGTATAAAACAGTGCCCACCTATTATGACATAATAATTAAAATAGGTTAGGTTCAACTTATGTCAAGGAACTGAATTAATAGACCCCGACTCCATGTGGTACGAGTCTGTCCTACCCCTAGAGTGGTTTTATAGAGCCGGAGCGCGTAGGGAGAGCAGCCTCCGCCTGCTGTAACAAATCGTAGGCATCGGACGAGCCGGAGCGGCTGAGGCTGGTCGCCGAAGGCGCCACCAACAAGCCGAAGCTGCGGAGGCGAGGCTGGATGCCTGCGATTTGTTACGCAAAGGCGTAGAGGCTGCTCTTCCCGCAGCGCCGGAGACGTTGCAGTCTCAAAATAGATACAGAAATCCCTCTGAATGAGTCCCTCTATTTATTTTTGGTGAAGGGGTTTCCCCTTCCCCCCCCCCCCAAGAGGTACCCATGGTTTTTTACACTTAATATTTATGCATAAAAAATAAAATTTCCTCAGAATTAAAATTCAAAAAAAACTCGAAAAGGGGGGGCTCCGTAACTTTTCCTTTTAAGGGGGAGTAGTACACCTCCCCCCGCCCCTCCCACCACCCCCCTCCAACCTCCAATTCGACGGACGTCAATGGAAAGTCGTACCTCCATTTGTTGTAGTGGAGATGGGACTTATATACAACAAATTGAGTTGCAGTGGAGAGCAGTCAAGAGGTTTATCCGAAAACAAAATTATAACAATTCACATTACATTATTTCATTTACCACTCTAGTAGCAGAGTTAAGAGCAACTAGACTTTGTAGATAAAATAGGTCGAATCGGTTCTAAAACCGAATTAGCACACCCCGACTCCATGTAGTCTTGTCTGCCCTACCCCTAGAGTGTTTTTGTAAAGCCGTAGGCACGGAGGGAGAGCAGCCCCCGCCCGCTGTAGGAAATCGCAGGCACCTAAGCGAGCCGTAGCGGCTGAGGCTGGTCGCCGAAGGCGACCAACAAGCCGAAGCTGCGGAGGCGAGCATGGGTGCCTGTGATTTGCTACGCAAGGGCAAAGGGGCTGCACTTCCCGCAGTGCCGAAGCCGTTGCAGAAGTAACTGCGTCAATATTCCTGTATAAAAAAAATGAGGTTATGATTTTACAAAAAAAAGGGGGGTTTCTGGCACTTCCCCCTTTTAGGGCGAGGTTCCTACCCCAGTCCCCCCACTCGGTGACCATATATTCATGCGGCAGATTACTAAAAAAATTCATAAAAAATGGGGGGGGGGGGGTTTCCGGCACTTAATTCTTTTAGGGGGAGGTTCCTACCCCTCCCCCCCCATCTACCCGCCCATTCGGCGACCAATAATTCGTGCAGCAGATTACTAAAGAATTACCGATAATTTTAAACATAAAATTGTTTATACACAAGATTTAAAGAAAACTATAATAAAGAAAAACAAACTAAAAATTTTAATTGTCATAAAGTCCTACTCTCCGTGGTATCGTGCCAAGAACG